TCATGTAAAATTTGTAAGACTTTAAAATGACAGAAAATATTTATGACAGCATCATTGAAATAAAATAGTAATTTTCTTTGTTATTAGGATATTAAAACTTTTAACCTTTTTCAATGGACAATATAACCTCTGAAAGAGGACCCTACTCTTCTAGGTCGTTTAGATACCGTGACTTTTTTTTTTCTTCTTTGCTTATCTATGAAGTTTACGTAAAGCTACTCGAGGGATATCTGTGCTAGACGTCCCTAATTTTGAAATGGCAGACTAGAGGGAAGGCATTTTAGTCAACAACACCCGCCGTCAGTGGTTTGCGTCCCGTTACAGCAAAACAAAGTGTACTCCAAACTTTGGGGCCACGGGTATGTTATCAGAAGAAAAATCCCACAATTTTATTAGAGTAGACCAAGAACTAACGGTGGACGCTGTTGACTAGATGCCCTCGTTCTAGTCCATCAGTTGCAAGTCACGGACGTCTAGAGCTTTGCGGGAAGATCCAAAACAGTCGAAGGAGGTCGGTAACTTAGAAGAAAATAGCGTTATTCTACATTAGCGAGGCTACTAAATAAAACCAGACTTACATTTCCCGAGTGTTTCCGGTTCTCGGTCGTTCGTTTCCGGGACATTTCGATTTTCAATTTCTTTGAGAATTGGAGTTCGATCAGCCTCAGCGGTGACGTAACGTGTACTTATATTGTTATCGACTTTAATATCCAGAATGGTCTCTGTGTAAGTTTTCTCTTCAGTGGGACTGCGTTGCTGTTCGGATTCTTTGGACCGAGTTTCCTCGTCGTTGATGCTAGACTTACTGGACACTCTGCTAAAGTCCGTGGACTTTGTTATCTTACGGCGAATCTTACGCTTCCCTTCAATCAGTTCGTACTGCTCAAAGGTCTTCTCAGAACAGCGAAATACTGACTCTGATTTAAGGCTGAAATCACTATTCATTGATTCCTTAGAAGTATGGTAATTATCTCGTCCGATTTTATATGATGTCTTTTCTTTTGGAACTTCCGCAAAAGATGACATTTTTGGTTTAGTTGGTGTATTTCTTTGAAGTTCCTCCGAAGATGGCGTTTTTGATTTAGCTGATGTCTTTCTTGGAAGTTCTGCTGAAGATGGCATTTTTGGTTTAGTTGGTGTATTTCTTTGAAGTTCCTCCGAAGATGTCGTTTTTGATTTAGCTGATGTCTTTCTTGGAAGTTCTGCTGAAGATGGCATTTTTGGTTTAGTTGGTGTATTTCTTTGAACTTCCGCAGAAGATGGCGTTTTTGATTTAGCTGAAGTCTTTGTTGAAAGTTCTGTTGTGTAACTTTCCTCCCTAAAATTTTGCCTGATATCATAATCAGACAGATTTCTTGATTTCTGATAAGAGGATTCTTGTGGTAGGACACTTTGCAACCAGGGGGCGTCTTCGAATTCCTCTCTCACTAGATGACTGGTTGATTTGCTTTTTTCTCGAAACAAGTTTCTCGTATTAGACCATTGTGAAGCTTTCTCTCGTCGGTCAGGATTTCTCTGAGGAACTTTGACCTTTTTATTCGTTTGCCTTGAAGAAATCACCTTTGTTGGCATTGTTTGGACATTGTCACCAATTTTCTGCATGTGGTCAGCCACCTGGTTGATGGAAATAACTGGAGTCCCCGAAGGAAGAGTAATATTTGTAGACTTCGACGTGTACTCGTTCACCGGTACCACACTTTTTCGTTGTTGGTCTAAAGAAGTAACCAAAAGTAAAGAAGTTAGGATGTAGTATTTTTTTTGGAAGTGCCTTTATTACGAGTACGAATATTTTTATTTATATGTATGTAACTACAACATCGCATCCACTAAAAATATACTAGAGAATTATACTTAATGAATAGAAAATTCTAATAAAAGGCTTACAACATAGGCTAAAAATATTACATGTTGACTTGGTTATATTAAAGTTAACAAGCTTAAAATAAGAAAATTAAGTTTGTGAATATTTTATTTCTTAAACCCAAACCAAGAAGTCGCCACTTGTTTCAATTGTGAATGTCTTGCAATGGAAATTGGTGCATTACTATTTCTAAGCCTAAAATAAAATTAAGACTGTTAAATCTGATTTTGTTCATGAAGTGAATGGAAAAGAGTTAGAAACAGAGATGGGAAACTTATAAAAAAATAAAATGTATCTAAATAATACGACAGTCTGAAGTAGACATTGGAGAGAACTGAACGAGACAATCTAATCTAAGAAAAAACAAAGCAGTCAAAATAAAACCCGTGTAGTTGAATTTAACATATAAATAAAAAATGTCTCATCAAAGTGTCTAGAACCAAGCGACTCGTCAAGAAAAATGTAAAAACAATGTCATTGTTCGTATTAAGTTTTATTGTCTGAACATATGTTCAAAACTATAGCATAGCTAAGACTAAATTATCCGCGATTCACGCTGAAGATACATTCAAAACTATACCATAGCTAGGACTAAATTATCCAAGATACACGCTGAAAATACATTCAAAACTATAGCATAGCTAGGACTAAATTATCCGCGATTCACGAATAATTTAGTCCTAGCTATGGTATAGTTTTGAATGTATTTTCACCAAGACACACGCTATTTACGTACTTGTTTGTGATTCATGTGGCTTATGATATTCATATTGTCCACCAAAGTATTCTTGCATTGACCTGTGACCTTCAGATGCCCGAGTAATTCTACTGTCTTTAGGTTTACCAAAATGATCTTCTGGTGGCCTCTGAACTTTGTATGTATCCCAAGGGTTTTCTGGGGTTACAAGTTTGCTCCAACCTCTACGGTCAAACTTTTAGTCAAGAGAAGAAAAAAAAAGGCTTCAGTAAAAGGGCTGATCCACCTCCCCCCTATCCCCACCCCCACCATTACCTTATTACCATTGTAGTTGTTGTTGTTGCTTTGGTCTGCTGATAAATATGATGTGTTAACATCTGTGTATTTTCTGGTTGTGTTTTCTTTTGTACAAAAACCAAATTTTATATTACTGAAACGGTACTTTTGATCTTATTCTTTAACCCCAAAATAAATAATATTCTTCCCTGTCTCTAATGTAAGTAACCTGACCTTACTCTTTAACCTCACAATAAATAGTATTATTCCCCGTCTCTAATGTAAGTAACCTGACCTTACTCTTTAACCCCAGGTTACTTACATTAGAGACAGGGAAGAATATTATTTATTTTGGTGCAGTTTGATTAGACTCTATTATTTAGAATCTATGTGTTTTGGAATATTTCCTTTGACCTTTAAACTCCAAATTCTAACGATTTTTTTCCACTCCCAAAGGAAGTGACCTGAGAAGTTCGATTCCAATCTGCTGTTTGGTATGTTTTCGCTCGACTTATAATCAACAACAAAATATTCAAATAGTATCTACAAACCCAGCATATATATATATTTTCCAGAATAAATCGTTTTATGTTACTTACAAGACATGACTCTAAACGTGTTGTGTTATGTTTATTTAGGTTTTAAAGGTGCTTATAACAAGCTTTCTTACGTCATCCACTTAAAAAATGTGCATGAATACGCTGCTTACTTTGGTAGCACGTTCGTATGACAGGACGTTAGCGACATCTTCTGGTCGGATTTCTGTACCACCCGAGGCTAATGTCAGGATTTCCTTTCGTGGATGTCGACGAATAGTTTCACGATTATCAACTGTTAATCAGTAGTTTTTGTAAGAAAAATTTAAGTTTAAAGTTAAAAAAATATACACTCTATACGTTATTTTTCAGTGTATGGAAATATAGTTAGCTGTTAGTTATTTAATTAAAACGTGTAGAACACTTGATATAACCTGATAAAGTACAGTTGCTTGAAATGTCAGTAATATTGTTAATTGTTAGTTATTTAATTAAAACGTGTAGTACACTTGATATAAACTGATAAAGTACAGTTGCTTGAACTGTCAGTAATATAGTTAGTTGTTAGTTATTTAATTAAAACGTGTAGAACACTTGATATAACCTGATAAAGTACAGTTGCTTGAACTGTCAGTAATATAGTTAGTTGTTAGTTATTTAATTAAAACGTGTAGAACACTTGATATAACCTGATAAAGTACAGTTGCTTGAACTGTCA